TTATGTGGATGGTGTAATAAAAAATATGGGAGAATCTATCGGAGACTTGAAAACACTTTGGAATGAACAAAGGTACGCCTCTAGGACTGACAATTTAATTAATGCTTTCGTTAAGATAAGATAAGATTTCGTTCGGATTTTTAACCCCGGAGGGTTAGCCACCCAGGATAACCCAAGAAAGTCAGTGCGTCATCGAGGACTGTCTAACTTATTTCCATTGGGGTCCTTAATCTTGTCCCCCAGGATGCGACCCACACCAGTCGACTAACACCCAGGTACCTATTTTGCTGCTAGGTGAACAGGACAACAGGTGTAAGGAAACGTGTGTGTGGGAAACAAGCAGGTTGCAACACTTGCGTTGGAAACAGTAAATGTATAAAAGGCATTCAGCATGAAGTTATAAATAAAGACAATAGATCAGGTCAGCAAACAAAGGGGGACAGCAGAGGGCAGCAAGGGACTAGCTCCCTTAAGGTTTACTATACTAATAGCAGGAGTGTAAGAAATAAGATAGATGAGCTAAGATTAATTGCAAGTGCAGGAAACATAGATATTATTGCTATAACAGAGACCTGGCTCAATCTGAAAGATACAGAGATGCCCTCTGAATGTCACATACAAGGCTATAAATTATTCCACACTGACAGGGTCAACAGGAAAGGTGGTGGAGTAGCGATGTATGTCAGAGACAATTTAAATTGTTGTGTTAGACAAGATATTAAATTAGAAGCGTCAGCCACTGAATCTGTTTGGTTACAGCTTCTCGAGGGCCGAGAAAAACTAATTTTGGGTGTGATTTACAGGGCCCCAAATCTTGATAGGGAGTGCAGTAAACTTCTATGGGACGAAATTCGTAAGGCATCTACATACGAAAATGTTGTGCTAATGGGAGATTTCAACTATAGACAGATTGACTGGAGCAATTTGACAGGAAATTTAGAGTCAGGTGACTTTCTTGATACGATCCAGGATTGTTTTTTAAAACAGTTTGTGACAGAGCCAACTAGGGGTAATAACCTCCTTGACTTGGTTCTTGCCAGTAGGGAAACACTAATTAATAATCTTGAGGTTAATGATGAGCTTGGGGAAAGTGATCACAAATCACTCAGTTTTAATATATCATGGAATTCCCTAATAATGGCAATCAAGTCTCCGTCCCTGACTTTCGCTTGGCTGATTTCATAGGACTGAAAAATTACTTAGGTGGGCTGAACTGGAATGACCTGACTAAGGGTCAGGTAGGTGGTGATGGTTGCCGATATGATGCTTTCCAGGGCATAGTTCTAGCTGCTCAGTCAAATTATGTTCCAAATAGGGAAATCAGATCAAACAAAAATGATCCTAAATGGATGAACAATAGATTAAAATATCTGATTGGTCAAAAGAGAGGCATATATAGGCAAATCAAAAGAGGAGAGGGGCAATTGAGAAATCGATATATTCAGTTAAAGAGAGAAATAAAAAAGGGAATTAGAAAAGCAAAAAGAGATTATGAGGTTAAAGTTGCAAGAGAATCGAAGACTAACCCAAAAGGATTCTTTCAGGTATACAGAAGTAAGATCAGGGACAAGATAGGCCCACTCAAAAGTTCCTCGGGTCAGCTCACTGACAGTGATAAGGAAATGTGTAGAATTTTTAACACATACTTCCTCTCAGTTTTTACACAGGAGGATACCAGCGATATTCCAGTAATGATAAATTATGTAGAACAGGACGATAAACTGTGCACTATTAGGGTCACAAGTGACATGGTCCTTAGGCAAATAGATAAATTAAAACCTAACAAATCCCCAGGCCCTGATGAACTGTATGCAAGGGTTCTAAAGGAATGTAAAGAGGAGCTTAGCACACCTTTGGCTAATCTTTTCAACATATCACTACAAACTGGCATGGTGCCAGATAAGTGGAAAATGGCAAATGTGATACCTATTTTCAAAACAGGTGACAGGTCCTTAGCTTCGAACTATAGACCAATAAGCCTAACCTCCATAGTGGGAAAATTTATGGAATCAATAATTGCCGAGGCAGTTCGTAGCCACCTTGAAAAGCATAAATTAATCAACGAATCTCAGCATGGTTTTACAAAGGGGCGTTCCTGCCTTACGAATTTATTAACTTTTTTCACTAAGGTATTTGAGGAGGTAGATCATGGTAATGAATATGATATTGTGTATATGGACTTCAGAAAGGCTTTTGACAGGGTCCCACATCAGAGACTATTTAGGAAAATTAAAGCACATGGAATAGGAGGAGAAATTTTTTCCTGGATAGAGGCATGGTTGACAAATAGGCAGCAGAGAGTTTGCATAAATGGGGAGAAATCAGAGTGGGGAAATGTCACGAGCGGTGTTCCACAGGGGTCAGTGTTGGGCCCCCTGCTGTTCACAATCTACATAAACGACATAGATGAGGGCATAAAGAGCGACATCGGCAAGTTTGCCGATGACACCAAAATAGGCCGTCGAATTCATTCTGACGAGGACATTCGAGCACTCCAGGAAGATTTGAATAGACTGATGCAGTGGTCGGAGAAGTGGCAGATGCAGTTTAATATAGACAAATGCAAAGTTCTAAATGTTGGACAGGACAATAACCATGCCACATATAAACTAAATAATGTAGATCTTAATATTACGGATTGCGAAAAAGATTTAGGAGTTCTGGTTAGCAGTAATCTGAAACCAAGACAACAGTGCATAAGTGTTCGCAATAAAGCTAATAGAATCCTTGGCTTCATATCAAGAAGCATAAATAATAGGAGTCCTCAGGTTGTTCTTCAACTCTATACATCCTTGGTTAGGCCTCATTTAGATTATGCTGCACAGTTTTGGTCACCTTATTACAGAATGGATATAAATTCTCTGGAAAATGTACAAAGGAGGATGACAAAGTTGATCCCATGTATCAGAAACCTTCCCTATGAGGATAGACTAAGGGCCCTGAATCTCCACTCTCTAGAAAGACGTAGAATTAGGGGGGATATGATTGAGGTGTATAAATGGAAGACAGGAATAAATAAAGGGGATGTAAATAGTGTGCTGAAAATATCTAGCCTAGACAGGACTCGCAGCAATGGTTTTAAGTTGGAAAAATTCAGATTCAGGAAGGATATAGGAAAGTACTGGTTTGGTAATAGAGTTGTGGATGAGTGGAACAAACTCCCAAGTACCGTTATAGAGGCCAGAACGTTGTGTAGCTTTAAAAATAGGTTGGATAAATACATGAGTGGATGTGGGTGGGTGTGAGTTAGACCTGATAGCTTGTGCTACCAGGTCGGTTGCCGTGTTCCTCCCTTAAGTCAATGTGACCTGACCTGACTAGGTTGGGTGCATTGGCTTAAGCCGGTAGGAGACTTGGACCTGCCTCGCATGGGCCAGTAGGCCTTCTGCAGTGTTCCTTCGTTCTTATGTTCTTATGTTCTTATGTTTCCACCCGCCGGGAATCGAACCCGGGCCCTCCGTGTGTGAAGCGGGAGCTTTAGCCACCAGGCCACAATCATTCTCACAATCATTTAATGAAGTGGTCGGGAAATTAACTAGCTATTAGGGAATGTGGCAAATTTGAGTGAAATTTCGTAGAAATAGCTCTCATTGCAACATGCAAGAAAATAATTTTGTTTTCAATTGGCCAGATACTTAGCAATGCTGCTGATAAACAGAGCCTATAGTTAAGAGCAACCTTCAAGTTTGACTTTTTCCAGCTACACCTGACGTCTCACTTACCCCAGCTACAACACCTGACCTCTCCTCACTTACCCCAGATACAACACCTGATGTCTCTCTCCCCAGCTACAACACCTGATGTCTCTCTCTCCCCAGCTACAACACCTGACGTCTCACTCACCCCAGCTACAACACCTGACCTCTCCTCACTTACCCCAGATACAACACCTGATATCTCTCTCCCCAGCTACAACACCTGATGTCTCTCTCTCCCCAGCTACAACACCTGATGTCTCACTCTCCCCAGCTACAACACCTGATGTCTCACACTCCCCAGCTACAACACCTGATGTCTCACTCTCCCCCAGCTACAACACCTGATGTCTCACTCTCCTCAGCTACAACACCTGATACTACTACTACTACTACTACTACTAATAATAATAATAATAATAATAATAATTTATAACCTGCATTCATCGAAATTTAAGAGCTATATCTCCCACGTAAGTACGTGGGGGACAGCTGTGTCGAACATTGAGATAAAAATGATTTTAAAAGATTTCCAAAGAAGTAAGAATAACTAGACGTATCAGGAATTAAAGAATGGAGATCGGATTAGTAAGGAGTAAAGAGGATGTGAATCAACTTAGAGAGGATATGTTAGCTGACTGGTTATGGAAGATGAGATACAACTCAGAATTGACAAGGGAAAGATGGATGCAGGAGCCTTTGCCTTGCATGAGTTCAGAGAGTTTTTCTACTCCCGGATCCCGGCCATGGACTAGGCTCGTCTGGAGTTTGCCTGGTCAACCAGGCTGCTGCTGCTGGCGGTCCTCTGATCCACATATCCGTCACAGCCTGGTTGATCTGGGACCTGGTGAAGATACTTGTCCAGTTTCCTCTTGAAGATTTCTACACTTGTCCCAGCAGTTTTTTCTGGGAATCGACGCGTTGCTGGCATGTAAATATGGCAATATCTATGGGGGGATTTAGGGAAACTGGTGAACCAGATATTAATGGGCTGGCTCTTTGTAAGCCAGATATTTGTGGGCTGGCTCTTTTAAGCCAGATATTTGTGGGCTGGCTCTTTGTAAGCCAGATATTTGTGGGCTGGCTCTTTGCAAGCCCACTACTAATGTCCAGCAAGACAGGCTACGATGCTGCGGTTCAGGTTATCACTGCATCGTGATGTTCGTTACCGTTACCTGTAAAGACAGGTAGGGAGTAAGTGATGATAAATATATTTTCTTCTTTATGCCATCCTTCTTTGGTGAGAAATACTGGCTGGTGTGATAATTTGCAAACCTTCGCCGTTGACTCTTGTCGAGGACTTACCGGCCAGAGGAATAGGTATCTCCTCGCCCTCTTCACCCTGTAAAAAGAAATTCTCTTAACTATCTTCTAATGTTTCGTAAGTGGGAGTCTGTGGGGAAAAATTAGCAGGAAAGATAATTTGCTGACACACCGTTAGTTACATATCTACTGTATACAGAGCGAGGCTCCTCAGAAGCTCAACACAATCTCCGAGCCATCCGGGAGCTCCCAGATCAGCGAAGCTCTACATCATCCCACTGATGATGTCCACTTGGTTACAGAACCTTTCATTGACGTGACATTATACGTATATTGTGAAGGCTTGAGGATAGGCACTGCTTAAGGATACTAAGGAAGCCTGGGCGATAACTGTCTCTAAAGTTAAACTGTTGCTAGTTAAAGTTAAACTGTTGCTAGTTAAAGTTAAACTGTTGCTAGTTTAAGTTAAACTGTTGCTAGTTAAAGAGGAAAGTTCACATTGGTGCCTTTATTTTTGACATTTTTAATGAACACATTGTGAATCTGGTTCCTCAGCGAATTTTACTGGACTTTGAATATGCTAACTTTTGTTTTAAATCTTATGCTGTGTCTGGCAGATGTGTAAATTATGCCAAATTAATATACAGTGGCCCGGTGGTCTGGTGGCTAAAGCTCCCGCTTCACACACGGAGGGCCCGGGTTCGATTCCCGGCGGGTGGGAATTCTGACACGTTTCCTTACACCTGTTGTCCTGTTCACCTAGCAGCAAATAGGTACCTGGGTGTTAGTCGACTGGTGTGGGTCGCATCCTGGGGGACAAGATTAAGGACCCCAATGGAAATAAGTTAGACAGTCCTCGATGACGCACTGACTTTCTTGGGTTATCCTGGGTGGCTAACCCTCCGGGGTTAAAAATCCGAACAAAATCTTATCTTATCTTATCTCTTATCTTCTCGTTTTTCGTAATTAATCTGTTCCTGGAGCCGTTACTATAAACGAAATTTACGATTTACGAATCAATTTTCCCCATAAGAAATAATGTAAATACAATTAATCCGTTCCTGACACCCAGAAGTATTAAAACAAAATTTTTTTTTTCATGAAATATACATATAGTACATAAACAATACAATGGGAAATGATGAATGAAACATTAACAGCATAACACTTACCTTTATTGGAGATTCTTCTTAATGTATGGGAGACTGGAGGAGGAGAGAGATTGGATTGTACCAATTGCTTCTCTGGGGTTGCTTCTCTTCTCTGTTTCTTAATGCCACTAGGACCATCTTGAGAGTCACTTTAGTCCTGTCTCGCAAAGTAACTGTGGAGAGAGCTCTGTTTCTAGCGTCTCTTTAACACTTCTCGAAAATGGCCCAGGACTTCGTCACTGTACATATTTCTCACCTTCTTTACCACAGGTTTGGCACTAGAAGCTTTCTTTGGAGCCATGGTAGCTTATTTAGTAATTGCAAGTACTAAAATGAGTGGAATATTATGAAACATTTCGTAGGAGCACTTGAGGAGACCTTCACTCACTGGTAAACAATGCCAGACTGGTTGGGTAGGGACGCTGCCCCAGCTCACACTGTGCGTATGCATCCCAGACGAACTACTATTCGCGAGTCAACCTATGAAAAGCGAGTCCATGTTTATACGAAAATACCCCTATGATTGGCGAAATTTACGATTGCCGAGAACTACGAAATCCGAGGGACCACTGTATATATATATATATATATATATACACTGATCTCTGGCTGAGATCAGTGTTTGTGTATATTTCGCATGCTCTCGCGAATTCCTTGTATATATATATATATATATATATATATATATATATATATATATATATATATATATATATAGGTAGTAGGTTGGTAGACAGCAACCGCCCAGGGAGGTACTACCGTCCTGCCAAGTGAGTGTAAAACGAAAGCCTGTAATTGTTTTACATGATGGTAGGATTGCTGGTGTCCTTTTTTTCTGTCTCATGAACATGCAAGATTTCAGGTATGTCTTGCTACTTCTACTTACACTTAGGTCACACTACACATACATGTACAAGCACATATATACACACCCCTCTGGGTTTTCTTCTATTTTCTTTCTAGTTCTTATTCTTGTTTATTTCCTCTTATCTCCATGGGGAAGTGGAACAGAATTCTTCCTCCGTAAGCCATGCGTGTTGTAAGAGGCAACTAAAATGCCGGGAGCAAGGGGCTAGTAACCTCTTCTCCTGTATATATTACTAAATGTAAAAGGAGAAACTTTCGTTTTTCCTTTTGGGCCACCCCGCCTCGGTGGGATACGGCCGGTGTGTTGAAAGAAAGAAATATATATATATATATATATATATATATATATATAGGTAGTAGGTTGGTAGACAGCAACCGCCCAGGGAGGTACTACCGTCCTGCCAAGTGAGTGTAAAACGAAAGCCTGTAATTGTTTTACATGATGGTAGGATTGCTGGTGTCCTTTTCTCTGTCTCATGAACATGCAAGATTTCAGGTACGTCTTGCTACTTCTACTTACACTTAGGTCACACTACACATACATGTACAAGCACATATATACACACCCCTCTGGGTTTTCTTCTATTTTCTTTCTAGTTCTTATTCTTGTTTATTTCCTCTTATCTCCATGGGGAAGTGGAACAGAATTCTTCCTCCGTAAGCCATGCGTGTTGTAAGAGGCGACTAAAATGCGCGGAGCAAGGGGCTAGTAACCTCTTCTCCTGTATATATTACTAAATGTAAAAGGAGAAACTTTTGTTTTTCCTTTTGGGCCACCCCGCCTCGGTGGGATACGGCTGGTGTGTTGAAAGAAAGAAAGAAAGAATATATATATATATATATATATATATATATATATATATATATATATATATATATATATATATATATATATATTATATAAAAACCAGCCCAGGACCGCCGAAATTTAAAAATCGAATGTAAATGCGACAAGAAACGTGAGATGTAACGAGATGTTACATTTCATGACTTTTAAAAATTAAAATTTGTTATAGTTTCCCATTAAAAATTAATAATTTACACTATTTCTAATATTTTCATTTGTAGTATTATTATATTTATTAATTTTATCTATTTATAGGAGTTTATATAATATTTGATGTGGTTTAGCTCAGTGTTAGTCCATGAAACATGCAGAGTGCATTGTGAGTCCTGGGTTTTGTCATGATATGTTTGAAACAACTGTGCAAGTTACGAGCTGTTGTTGTACCTCAGCTCGTGTCAAAGTCCAGCACTGTCTGAGGTATACTGCTACCCCCAGGATACCACCCACAACAGTCTGCAAACACCCAGGGTACCTGCTTGTTGCTATTTGAACAGGGACAGCAGGTGTAGGGAAACAGACCCCATGTTTCCACCAGTGCCGGGGATCGAACTACGGACCCTCAGTATACAAGCTGAGTGTTAGTACCCGAGCCATGGGTACTAACCTCGTTACTTTATAAATATTCTCAACGTGTAACTAGAATTTTTCAGGGTATTAAGCTTGAAGTGAGAGAAGGTTCAGCTATAGCTCCTGGGTCCCTTGAGGGTTCTAAAGTACATTACTGTGACTCTTACATGTACTGAGGTACAGGGGTGTGAAGTTAAAGTAAGGTAAAAAAAAATTCGGATATTTAATCCCGGAGGGTTAGCCGCCACCCAGAATAACCCAAGAAAGTCAGTGCATCATCGAGGACTGTCTTATTCCCACTGGGGTCCTTAAATCTTGTCCCCCAGGATGCCACCCACACCAGTCGACTAACTGAAGCCACTTCAACTCATCCCGTGAGTGAACATACCGTTAGAATAACATCGCGTTAAAGTCCAAATAATTGACACACCATTTACCATGTCAACTTCTTGGTCGATGTTTGGATATTCGGGTATCGAAATTACCAGGGAAGATTTTCAGTACATCCTGCAAACTTTTGCACATATTTTTTAAAACGCTACTCCCGTTAAACTCGTCCTCTTTATTTCTAAATTGTTTTTTTCCTTGTGATCTGTGGCATCCTTGTTTAATATTGTAGTGTAAATTTTATGGTGGTCAAGTTCACAAGTTCCGTCACCGCAGGGAGGAGTTCTCAGTCCCATGCTATTTAATATTCTGATTAATGCTTTACCTGCTTCACCTAAACATATAGCTATACGCTATGCTGATGACATCATGATCCATACAACAGGGCATAAGAAGACGAATACCATTCTTAATGAAGTTCAAGCAATTTGTAATCGACTAGGCCTCATAATATCTTCCTCTAAAACAAAGATATTAACAAGCAAACGACATCCCCCACCCATCTATTTGCAGGGTGAAAACATTAGCTACTTTAAAACTTACAGATATCTTGGTGTAGATGTACCCTTTAACAAATCCACTATATCACAACTATATAAGAAATGCAAAGATAGGCTAAATGCTCTCAAAGCTGTTGCTGGCTACAACCCCAACTATGGTGCTAATGTGAGAATCGTGAGAATGATGTACATAGCCTATGTTAGGTCCTTAATTGATTATGCTGCTCCCATGTTGATATTAGCTAGAGAAAGTACTCTCCGACCCGTGGAGTTATTGCAAAATGAAGCTCTCAGAATTATTCTTGGTTGTCCCAGATCTACAAAGGTTCTTAATATGAGGAAGGAGCTTGGTATTTCTAGTATCAGTGATAGGATTGAGATTAACACTGTACTCAGTATTAGAATGTTAAGAAATGAACCAGACACTGTCACAATGAACTTTACTAAGTGTATAGAAGTAAATACACACAGATCTAAATGGATTGCGAAAACATGCAATTGCATTAAGTATTGTCCTCATCGCTCTGGGCCGTGTGGACAGGCTGCGCAGTAGCTCCTGAATCAACTGGTTTACTCCGCAGTTTTCTTGTTTTGTGCATACTACATGACGGATCGCATTGGACGCCGGGTGAACACTGTGTGGAATTGGTGTGTGGCACGCTTACAGGAACAACAATGCAGGTGTTACTGCCTGCGATCATCAGTGAGGTATATGGAATACCAAACGAAGAATTATATGGAGTAGCAGTAAATGGTGTGTCAAGGATCTTCATTAAGTTTTAAGAAGCAGGATTCTACGCAAGCATAGTCAACAAATATCAAGAGAAAAGGCTAGCAGTGAACACTATGGTGGAAGTCTGCTTACATGATGTGTCCAGCTATGTGACGTGGGTGAAAGTACAAAACGTGCCGTTTGAGGCAACAGAGCATGATGTAATGGCAGTGTTTAACAGCTATGGAAAAATTCAATCAGCTGAAATGGGAGTGTGGCGAAATGGTCCTTATGAGGGGCTACCTGAGGGATCATTTACTCTGAAAATGACGTTGAGGCAGCCAATTCCATCATACGTTCTTCTGGAGGTCTTCCGGACGCAGGTTTACGTGTACTACTCAGGGCAGCGGAAGACTTACAAATTATGTGGATCTTTTGAACATATGGCGGCCCAATGCTATAAAAAAGCTGGACGGAGGGAACAGGTACCAATGATCTTACATCAGAGGAATGGTATGGGGGCGTTGGAGGAAGGAGTAAGGCCAAACAAGAATCCTTGCCGTTGGAGTGAAGTGGATAGGCTGAGGCGTAACGCTAACGGTTGATAAGGGAAAGACGACATCGACGTCGAGAGTGAGTGATGAGGAGGGTATGGGTCAACAGGATGGCTTGCTGGAGGCAGTACTAAGCTCCCTTTTGCATGACGTTGAGGAGGGACAGGAGGATGAAGGGTGTAACCTCGTGCAGGCGACAGCTCAGGAAGATCTGGAGCTTAGGAACTGTGTGCACTAATGTTAATGTGCACAACGTTGTGGCAGAAGTCCATAGGGCGGAAAAGACAGGTGACGAGGTGTGTGGGGAGGGGAGTTCTCGTAAGAGAACTGCAGGAACGTCGGAGATGGACGATGTTCTTACTCCAGGACAAAGAACAGGAGTAAAATCTTGCAGAAAGGAAGTACATGTATGTCATAAGGGGAAAGAGGGGAGGGGTAATGAAGGGTTTAATGGTTTTAGGGATAACGGAGGGATAGGGGGGGGGGTGAATAAGCAAGCTGTCAAGAAAGACGCAATACAGCAGGACGGTACAGGAAGGTATGTGCCAAGAAGAAAAGGTAAACCACCACTTTTAAAATAATTCACAGTAGTAACTGTAAATGTAAATGGATTGAGGAATGAAGTGAAACGGGTATGGATGGAATGGCTCTTGAGGAGATATAATGTGGATGTATGCTTTATACAAGAACATAATTATAAGATAGGCTGTGCTTTGGCATTAAAAGGTTATAAATTATGTAAGTGGGTCTGTTAGGTTAAAAGGGGGAGTGGCAGTGGCTGTGAAGGAAAATAGTTCCTTACATATTATAAAGTGAGAAGGGATGGGGGGTAGTGAGAGTGGATGGTGAGTGGGGAGCATCTCGAGTATGTTTCATTGGGGTTTATATGCCAGCAGAGAATATAATCAAAGTAATAGAGGATTTTGTGAAAGACGTTTTGGTGTATTTTTTAAGGGGTTTACCTCTAGTAACTGTAATTGTGGGGGACTGGAACTGTGTTATAAGGAGGGGGGGACGTGGAGCCAAGGGGGGCGGGTGGTGTGTTACGGTCGTTACTCGTTACGCAGTGTTTTACAGGATGTAGGGGTGAGGGACGTGGAGGGGAGTGGGACTTGGAGAGTGGATTTTACTTTTGTAAGGGGAGATTATTCAGCGAGGTTAGATAGGATTTATATAACGGGGGCAGTCAGTGTAGGAGGGGTAAAAACAGTGGACGTAGGGTTTTCGGATCATAGGGCAGTTTTGGTAGAGCTGCATTGGGAGGGTGTGGTAAAGGTGTATTCAAGTTTCTGGAAGTTGAATGCGAGGTTGGTGAGGAGTGAGGTGGTGAATGCAGAGTTTAGAGACTGGTGGGGACAATTGTGGAGGGCAAGGGATGGGGTAGGGAGTATTTTGGATTGGTGGGAAAATAGGGCTAAACCTGGTATCGCGGGGTTTTATAAATATAAAGGAAGGGAGGAGGCGAGGTGGAGGTATGGTTTACAGAATTATTTGGAACAGCAGCTCAATGAGTGTTATGCAAGTGAAGAGGGGAAGACTTTTGAAGAAATATCAGGGCTAAGAGAGATATTAAGGGAAATACATAATGAAAAATTTGATGAAATAAGGGTAAGGGCAGGGATGGATGCCGTACTATGGGGAGATAAGCCGTCGGGTAGTGTGTTAAGAAGTTTTCGAATTAGACAACAGGAGTCCAATATAATACTTTTAGAGGTTAGTGATGATTTGGAAGGTTATACTATGGGGCAAATGCTGGTAACAACTGAGGGGATAAGTAATTATGCGGATTATTGGTTTAAAAGGAAATGGGAAAAGGGTAACATGGGGATAGTTAATAAAGAAAGAGGAGGGGTGAAGGCCTTGGGGAAAGGTGGCGAGGACAGAGGGGGATTGGATGGAGTAATAAGTATGGAAGAAGTGAAAGAGGCGGTGTTCAATTTAAGTAAGGGAAAAGCACCAGGAATCGATGGGCTTTCCAATGATTTTTATAGAGTGCATTGGGAAACTATGTTTGTTTGGTTCAGGTATTGAATAATATGTTGAAGGAAGGAAAATTGGGAATGTCACAAAGGACGGGTGTGGTCGTGCTTGTAAAGAAAAAGAGGGAGGGGAGAACACTGAGCACGTACAGGGCCATATCTTTAATGTGTACGAATTATAAGATTTTTGCGAAGATTCTAGGGAACAGGATGAAGAGGGTGAGATAAGATAAGATTTAGTTCGGATTTTTAACCCCGGAGGGTTAGCCACCCAGGATAACCCAAGAAAGTCAGTGCGTCATCGAGGACTGTCTAACTTATTTCCATTGGGGTCCTTAATCTTGTCCCCCAGGATGCGACCCACACCAGTCGACTAACACCCAGGTACCTATTTGCTGCTAGGTGGGGAAGGAAGGGGGGAGATAGCTGGAGCTAGACTTACCCTACCTTAACAAGCAGCCGGCAATCAAACTATTGTTACCATATACTTACTTGCTCAATACTCTTATCTGTTGAACTTTTCCCTCACAGAAACTACATACAAAATTTAGAATATAAACTGTGAATCATACAAAAATGAACTCCACATCATAACCATTACACATATGTCCTCCTGCGGACGGTTATACATTCAAACATTGCCTAAAAACCCTAAAGGTATTCCTCCCATCATTCATACAACATACAGTATGACCTAAGAATATTACATCATTTCATGTATCAACTAAAGTTTTCTACCTTCAAATTAAAATTAAAATTCAAACCCACCTATTTGATGACAGTTGTCATTGTTATCAATGACCTCGTTCCTCTCATACATGTGTCATTTCGTATTTCTCTTAATATACAAACAACTACTGGGTGAGGGGGTGGAGGGAGGGGATTTTGAAAGTTTGTGGGAGGACTTATGGGGTGGGGGTAAGAGTGCAAGCGATTTATTGGGGTGGTGGGATGGGGTTGCGAAGAGGAGGATCAGGCAATATTATGTGCGAAGGGGAAAGAATGAGGCATGGATGACATATGGGCTTCAACAGTATTTAGAGGGGCGGTTGTAGGGTTGTCATGAGAGGGATGCTGTGGAAGGTGTGTATCCAATGGAGGAAATTGAAGCGTTAAATTGGCAGATAAGAGATATGCACAATGAGAGATTTGATGAGGCGAGGGTGCAAGGTGGGTTAGAGGAGGCGATTTGGGGTGACAGGCCATCAGCCTGTGTGTTACGGGGCCAGCGGAGACGCAGGTTGGCAATGGAGATTGATAAGCTGGTAGTTTTTTTTTTATATTTTATTTAAAAGCAACATACACATAAACCATAATAAGAAAAAAACACAAGCCGACAATTAGCAAATCAAAAAACCGTGACAGACAATGTCAGTACACACACAAAAAACAAAATACATTTTAACACATTGATATAACAAAATTCTACTGAAATAAACCCAACCAGTTTACGGAAAAAAACATACCGACTACTAAACAAAACGTCGGAGTCATTATAAAACATGTAGGAATAAGTTCTATAATCATGTATATATGTATATACATACACATGCACATATACACATACGTGTATGTGCACATGTGTTCTTACAGAACAGACTGGATTATACACGAAAAAATACGCAAAATGACTTATCACTAAATAAACTAAATATATAACATCCAATAACAGAAGTGGCAGACAATGTCAGGTACACACAAAATACATTTTAACACATTGATATAACAAAATTCTACTGAAATAACCCAACCAATTTATGGAAAAAAAAAAACATACCGACTTCCAAACAAACAGTCGGAGTCATTATAAAACATGTAGGAATAAGTCCTACAATCATATATATATGTATATATATACACATGCATATACACACATACGTGTATGTGCACATGTGTTCATACAGAACAAACTGGATTATACATAGAAATAAAACGCAAAATGACTAATCACCAAATAAACTAAAAATATATTACATCCAATAATAGAACTATACCTAAGACATTGGTTCCCACAAACACACCTACACACACACAAAGTTAAAGTTACCGATTAACACTTAATATATAATATGATTGTCCTCTTCGCTTCCGGGCCGAGTGGACGTGCTGCGCAGGCTCTCCCAATTCAGTTGATTTTCTGCGCAGTTTGCCTGTTTTGAGCAATCAACATGGCGGATAGACATGGCAGACGTGTGAATACTGTCTGTGTGGAATTAGTACGTGGGGCCCTAAGCAGTTCTACAATGCAGGTGCTACTCCCTACGATTATTCGTGATGTGCATGGGATACCCAATGAAGAGCTTTATGGTGTGGCTGTTAACGGAATTACGAAGATTTTCATCAAATTTATAAATGCTGGATTTTACTCAAGCATAGTTGACAAGTACCACGAGAAGAGGATGGCCGTGAATGCAGCAGTGGAGGTATGTCTACATGATGTATTCAGCTATGTGACATACGTAAAAGTCAGGAATGTGCCCTTTGAAGCTACAGAGTATGATGTGGTTGCGGTCTTCCGTCGTTATGGCAAGATTCATGTGGCGGAATTGGGAGTGTGGAAGGAAGGGGCTTATGTGGGACTGCCCGAGGGATCCTTCAATCTGAAGATGTTACGGCAATCAATTCCTTCGTATGTTTTACTGGAAGAGTTCCGAACGCAGGTCTACGTATACTATGCAGGACAGAGGTGGACTTGTAGGCTGTGCGGATCATTTGACCATATGGCAGCCCAATGCCATAGGAAACCAGGATGGAGGGAACAGATGCCAACACCGGTGGATCAGCAGTTGGGTCCTGTAGTGCAGGAGACAGATGCGGCCGAAAGGCAGGCATCGTGCAGTTGGAGTGAGGAAGTGGATAAAGCAGAGGCAGAGACGGACTCATGTGCTACGTTACCTGTGGGGACGGGGCCTGAGCAGACGACGACGAACGATGACAGTGAGCCTGTAATGCAACAGGATGGAATGTTGGATGAGGTTTTGAATACCTTCCTGAGTGAGGTGGAGGGGAGTCTGGATAATGAGCAGCGTGGACGCTCATTGGAGGAGACTACAGTCTCATCGGGATGTGGGAAGACCATGTGCAATGAGGGGAAGAAGCACACAGTAGTGGCTGAGGTGCACAGAGCGTGCATGGAAGAGGTTACACGTGGAGACGGAGGTTCACACAAGAGAACAGCTGGGACGTCAGATATGGATGACGTCTTAACGCCAGGGCAGAGACCTGGGAAGAAGTCTTGGAAGCCCAGGTTGGATCTCCTGGAGAGTGGGTGTAGCGATGCTGAAGTACTGAAAGGTTCAAAGGATAAGGGGGGGGGTTGGGGACTGGACAGACAAGGTGACAAACGGGGCTCTAGTCAGCAGCCAGGTCACGTGGGTGCCATTCCAAGGCGGTGGGGCAAGCCGCCTTTACTGTCATAATTCAAGGTTGTAACGATCAATGTTAACGGCCTGAGAGCCGAGGTTAAAAGAGTATGGGTGGAATGGTTTTTAAAGAGATTTAATGTAGATATATGTTTCATTTAGGAGCACAATTATAAGTTTGGTTGTGAGTTGTCTTTGAAAGGATATAAGTTGTATGTGAGTGGCTCTTTGAGGTTAAAAGGTGGGGTTGCTGTGGCTGTAAAGGAAACCAGTCCATTGCATATTTTGGGGTGGGAGGAGGGGGGAAGGGTCGTGAGGGTGGAGGGGGAGTGGGGTGCAATGAGGGTTTGTTTTATAGGAGTGTATATGCTGGCAGATGGCAACGCACGAGTCAAGGAGAACTTTGTGAGGGAATTTTTTATGTACTATTTAAGGGGTATACCTATAGTCACTGTAATTGGGGAGATTGGAATTGTGTTATTAGGGGAGGGGATGTGGAACCGAGGGGGGCGGGGTGTATGTTGGGCTTGTTACGTAATGTGTTTGGAGACGTGGGGGTTTTGGATGTTGTGGGGAGGGGTGGTTGGCAGGTTGAGTATACGTTTGTCAGACGGGATTATGCTGCAAGATTAGATAGGATCTATGCAATGGAAGCTGTACGTGTGTTGGGAGTCAGGACTTTTGATGTGGGGTTTTCTGATCATAGGGCAGTTATAGCAGATCTTGATTGGGAAGGTATGGTTAGGATACAATTGGGTTTTTGGAAATTAAATGCAAGACTCGTGAGGAGTGAGGAGGTGAGTATGGCTTTTGGGGAATGGTGGCAAACTTTTTGGGATTCTAGAGAGGTAGAGTCGTGTGTCTTAGAATGGTGGGAAAGGCACGCTAAGCCGGGTATAGCAGGTTTCTATAAGAGGAAGGGAAGGGAAGAGGCAGGGTGGAGGTATGGGTTGCAAAATTATTTTGAATATCAGCTAAATGGGTGTTATGAGGAAGGGGGGGGGGCAGTACGGAAACATGGTGCAACTCAAGGACAGGTTGGCAGAGTTACATAATGGTAGATTTGATGCAGTACGTGTAAGGGCGGGAATGGAGGCTGTGCTGTGGGGTGATAAACCTTCGGGAAGTGTTTTGCGAGGTTTTAGGGTAAGGCAGAAGGATTCGACTATTTTAAACTTGGAGGTAAGTGAGAATATGGGTGGTTATCACAAGGGACAGGTACTGAATACTACAGAAGGCATGAGCAATTATGCTGATTTCTGGTTCCAAAAAAAGTGGGGGAAGGGGGAGGAGGGCGATGCTATTGAGGAGGTGGGGGGGGGGGGGGAGAGGTTTAGGGTCATGTGGAGAGGAGGGCATGGGGATGGGAGGTGACTATAGGTATACCCCTTAAATAGTACATAAAAAATTCCCTCACAAAGTTCTCCTTGACTCGTGCGTTGCCATCTGCCAGCATATACACTCCTATAAAACAAACCCTCATTGCACCCCACTCCCCCTCCACCCTCACGACCCTTCCCCCCTCCTCCCACCCCAAAATATGCAATGGACTGGTTTCCTTTACAGCCACAGCAACCCCACCTTTTAACCTCAAAGAGCCACTCACATACAACTTATATCCTTTCAAAGACAACTCACAACCAAACTTATAATTGTGCTCCTAAATGAAACATATATCTACATTAAATCTCTTTAAAAACCATTCCACCCATACTCTTTTAACCTCGGCTCTCAGGCCGTTAACATTGATCGTTTACAACCTTGAATTATAACAGGTTAAAGGCGGCTTGCCCCACCCCCTTTGGAATGGCACCCACGTGACCTGGCTGCTGACTAGAGCCCCGTTTGTCACTTGTCTGCCCCAGCCCCCCAAAACCCCCCCCTTATCCTTTAAAACCTTTAGTACTTCAGCATCGCTACACCCACTCTCAGGAGATCCAACCTGGGCTTCCAAGACTTCTTCCCAGGTCTCTGCCCTGGCGTTAAGACGTCATCCATATCTGACGTCCCAGCTGTTCTCTTGTGTGAACCTCCGTCTCCACGTGTAACCTCCTCTTCCATGCCGCTCTGTGCACCTCAGCCACTACTGTGGCTTCTTCCCCTCTTTGCACATGGTCTTCCCACATCCCGATGAGACTGTAGTCTCCTCCAATGAGCGTCCACGCTGCTCATTATCCAGACTCCCCCCCAAAACCTCACTCAGGAAGGTATTCAAAACCTCACCCCAACATTCCATCCTGTTGCATTACAGGCTCACTGTCATCGTCGTCGTCGTCTGCTCAGGCCCCGTCCCCCACGGTAACGTAGCACATGAGCCCCGTCTCTGCCTCTGCTTTACCACTTCCTCACTCCAACTCCCACGTTTGCCTGCCTTTCGGCCGCATCTGTCTCCTGCACTACAGGACCCAACTGCTGATCCCACCGGTTGTTGGCATCTGTTCCCTCCACCCTGGTTTCCTATGGCTTTGGGGCTGCCATATGGTCAAATGATCCGCACAGCCTACAAGTCCACCTCTGTCCTGCATAGTAACGTAGACCTGCGTTGGGAAACTCTTCATTTAAAACATACGAAGGAATTGATTGCCGTAACATCTTCAGATTGAAGGATCCCTCGGGCAGTCCCACATAAGCCCCTTCCTTCCACACCCCCAAATTTCCCGGGCCACATGAATCTTGCCATAACGACGGAAAGGGACCGCAACCACATCATACTCTGTAGCTTCAAAGGGCACATTCCTGACTTTACGTATTCACATAGCTGAATACATCATGTAGACATACCTCCACTGCTGCATTCACGGCCATCCTCTTCTCGTGGGACTTGTCAACTATGCTTGAGTAAAATCCAGCATTTATAAATTTGATGAAAATCTTCGTAATTTCCCTTAACAGCCAAAACCCTAAAGCTCTTCATTGGGTATCCCATGCACATCACGAATAATCGTAAGGGAGTAGCACCTGCATTTTAGAACTGCTTAGGGGCCCCACGTACTAATTCCACACAGACAGTATTTTACAACGTCTGCCATGTCTATCCGCCATGTTGATTGCTCAAAACAGGCAAACTGGCAGAAAATCAACTGAATTGGGAGCGCCTGCGCAGCACGTCCACTCGGCCCGGAAGCGAAGAGGACAATCATTATATATATTAAGTGTTAATCGGTAACTTTAACTTTGTGTGTGTGTAGGTGTGTTTTGTGGGAAACCAATGTCTTAGGTATAGTTCATTATTGGATGTAATATATTTTTTGGTTTATTTGGTGATTAGTCATTTGGCGTTTTAAATTTTTATGTATAATCCAGTTTGTTCTGTATGAACACATGTGCACATACACGTAAAGTGTGTATATGGCATGTGTATATATATACAATATATATGATTGTAGGACTTATTCCTACATGTTTTATAATGACTTTCCGACTGTTTTTTGGAAGTCGGTTATGTTTTTTTTTTTCCATAAATTGGTTGGGTTATTTCAGTAGAATTTTTGTTAATCAATGTGTTTAAAAAGTATTTTGTGTGTACCTGACATTGTCTGCCCCTTCTGTTATTGGATGTTATATATTTAGTTTATTTAGTGATAAGTATTTTGCGTATTTTTCGTGTATAACCAGTCTGTTCTGTAAGAACACATGTGCACATACACGTATGTGTATATGTGCAATGTGTATGTATATACATATATACATGAATTAAGAACTTATTCCTACATGTTTTATTTAAAGACTCCGACGTTTTGTTAGTAGTCGGTATGTTTTTTTTCCGTAAACTGGTTGGGTTTATTTTAGTAGAATTTTGTTATATCAA